TAGAGTTATTGTTTGGATTCAAGCTCCGTTCATGATTTGAGCTTGGTTCATGGATTCAAATTCAAATCATAGAGTATATCTAATGCTTATCTTAATTTTGTGTGTTAACTCACCTAAAACAACTATATAAGGTGTATTATATATATATATATATATATTAACTTGAAGAAAAGTTTCATTTGTATCATCATATGTTTTTATTATTTACAAACATGTGCTTTTTAATAATATATTTCAAAATTTGCACCAAACACAAAGGTTCTGAAACCCGGCCCGGACCGGACGGTCGAACTGGTCGGAACGCCACCCGCTTGCATTTCCGGTTTAAAGAGGCAAATACACGGATTTGCCATTAAACCGTTTCAAACCGTGGTTGGACCGTCGTACTGTAGCAAACCGACGGTCCAACCGTTATTTAACAAATTTTCGGTCCACACATTTCCGGTTTACACATGAAATAAAAAAAAATTTAAAAATTCAAAACATCACATGCGCACACATAAAAAGTCAAACTGTCAAACTTAACCAAACCCTCAAATTTTTATTAAAAAACACATTTTTAATTTGCTTTTGAGCTACAGATACACTGATATAGAGCCGTCTCCCTTCTTTAACTTTTCACTTTTTCATCTGGTTTGTCGTTTGCTATTGCCATTCACGATCTCCTCCACTCTCCAGTCTAGTCCTCCTCTTCGTGTCCTGCATTCGAGATCTCAGGAGTCAGATCTCCTTCAAGCTTTCAGCTAAGCTTCAGCGCCTCACGTCTTCACTCTTCAGTCTTCAGTCTTCGGTCTGCAGTCTGCTCTACTCTGCTTCACGCTTCATTCTTCAACTTCCAGTCTTCTAGTCTTCAACGTGAACTCTTCAATCATCACCATCTCCATGGCTACTGTCCGATAAGTCATTTCAGCTCAGATTTCACGTTCAACCTTCACATCTGTTGCCGTCGCCGCCATCTACGAGCTGCCATATGCCACCGGTCGTAGCTGCCGTCTGCCAGCTTCAACCTCTGATGTTAGGAAAGGTTGTATCGTTTTTTTGTTATTCTATGCTGTGGGTTTGTGATTTGATTACGATTATTAATTGTGTGTTGTTATTTGGTTTTATGAAATATCCAACTATTGTAAGGAAAGTGGTAGAGAGGAAGATTTTTCAGTAGAAGCTTTCCATGGAAGAGACAAGACGAAGGATAGTGAAGATGGGTGGCGTTATTTTGAATGATTTGTGATTAATTATTAATTAATATTTTTTATTAATTAAAATTTTCATTAATTTTTGCTAGTATTTGTTGATTTGGAATTAATGGTCTTTTAAAGATATATTTATTTATTTTTTTAGTTATTATTTTAATAAACAAAAACTATGGGCAGTTTACTCATTGTAATGTCTGAACAGTGCCAAATACTCAAATGTCAGGACGCATTAACAAACATTAACGCAGGGTAAATGTTGATAGTTTCCAAACCAGGGGTGCTGTTGTAGATATGCAGCTTCAACCAGTATACTGACGTCACGGTCAGTCGGACCGTCAAACCGTTCGAATCGAGAACCGGCCATTTGGCCGGTCGGCTCCCGGTCCGGTTTTCAGACATTGCCAAACACAAGATTACAATCTTGCCTTTCTGACCTTCCCGTTCTACCCTTGGATTAGGGTTTCTAGAGTCTTCCTTGATTGCAACGTTGCTTCCTTCATAAATACAAAGTTGTTGCGAAATATAGGGTTAGAAAAGAATATAGGTTGTTATCAGGTTTCATTTGGGATGCTCTAATATGAGATTTTTTTTTTTGTTGTATAACATCCTTTTATAGTGAAATAGAAAGAGTTTTAGGAAAATACTTCCCTTGATGGTAATGAAGTTGATATGGTATGAAATTAAGAGGGGAAAAGAGTTGTAGAAGAATTTCAGGGAATAAGGTGTCCCATTTTAAGCCAGCCACAAAATGACCATTATGTGTATCCATTTGTTTAAGGGGTATTTGTCTGAGTTTATGAAAATAACTTATAAGCATTGAAATTTTAAGCAATTATGTGTTTGGTTAAATTACTTAAAAGGACTGATAGTAGTTGTGTGTTTAGTAAATGTGGCTATAAGTACATTTTTTTATAAAATGACTAAAAAGGGTACTACATTAACAATGGTATATTATGAATTTTAAAATTAAACAGGATAATGTAGTATATACTTGGTCAAACTAACTTGTAAGCAAAAAAAAAAAAAAAAAAAAAAAAAAAAAACTCTTAACTTATTTTTTTTGGCTTTAGCTCCTTATCAAAAAAGTTATAAACAAATATGTCAGCTTAATTTTAGAACTATAAACTAGTTTGATCACTTATAGCTTAGACAAACACCCCCTAAATAAGTCGTGAAATAGTGTTAGTGATATTATGTAACCAACACTTGTCCGCCAACTTGACCAATGGCAATGTGACCTTATGATGAGTTGAATGAAATTGAAGATTTGTCTCAATAAATCTATCTAAGAAAATTAATGAAAAACAAAGAATCAATTAAAAAGCAAGTGCCGAAATATGCACATCAAATAATGGTCCTTCTCCTAACCTAACCATTCCGAGAAAACCCCCACCACCGAAAAATAAAAATTAAAAGAGCATATTAAAGATTTAGATCTCGAGAAGAGTATAAATGAGCCAATTCTCTTCCCCTATAAAAGAGTGTCCATCTCCATATCTCTCACAACTCGCTCTACTTTCTCCTTTTCCCCTTCATTACTCCGCTTCACTTCTCACACGGCTCGTTTCTCTTTCAGGTTATATCCTATTTCTTTATTGAAAAACTACATATAATGTCATTCATTTCTTATAATTTTGATTTTGTTGATAGATCTATAAGAGCAATGGCCTCCCATATTGTTGGGTACCCTCGTATGGGCCAAAGAGAGAGTTGAAGTTTGCATTAGAATCGTTCTGGGACGGCAGAGACACCGCCGTGATTTGCAGAAGTTGCGGCTGATCTCAGATCGTCCGTCTGGAAACAAATGGCGAAGTCGGAATTAAATTCATCCCCAGTAACACATTTTCATACTACGATCAAGTGTTGGATACCACTGCTATGTTGGGCGCTGTTCCTTCCAGATATAATTGGAATGGTGGTGAGATTGGTTTCGATGTCTATTTTTCAATGGCAGGGGGTAATGCTTCTGTTCCAGCTATGAAATGACCAAGTGGTTTGATACCACCTAGTAAGTAGTGAAACTAATAATTTTTTTCCCCAAAATTTATTGTTTTCTGGGTAATTTTTCATGTGTTTATGGTTGGTTTCTGTAGCCTTATATTGTGCCTGAATGGGACCGGAAATCAAGTTTTCATATGCTTCTCACAAGGCTGTCACGAATATAAGGAGGCCAAAGCCGTAAGCTTGCTTAGATCTATTGATATTGTATTATTACATGATTGAGGATTGATAGTATAACATAGTAATCTTTATCCACTCACCGAATACAAACTTTGTTGCCGATTCAATTAAAAATTCCTTTAGTTTTATACTTTAAACCACTTTATTTTTTTTATCATTCTTTGCTCTGTCTGTTCTATAATCTACTGCCTTCCGTGTACAACCATCTTACTGCTTTTGACTTTCATTATTTATATTTAAAAATGGTTTACAAATAAACCCAATTAAAAAAAAAAAAATAGAAAAAAAGTTGAAAAGAGTTATGTTTTTTAATGATCTAATTTTCTTGAAAAAAGTGGTGATAAAGATGAGTCCCAGTACTGTTACATAATTGTATACTAAAAAATGATCAAATACTATAAATTGAAAGTCCAATTATAGTTTTGTTAAATCAAAATGAATTTTTCGTTCTGGGGTATGCATAAACTCAACTAAATGAAATATACAAGGGTTCATATTAATGGTTAATTGCTTGAAGCTGAGAATTAACAACAATACTTTTGAACTTGATGATATTGCCTAATTGAATAACCTTTGTAAATTAGTCTAATGATCAACTGTTGGATTGCATCACTTGATTTTCATTCTGAGTGCTATGACCTTTAATTAAGGGATTTTTCTTGCAGTATATCAAATGATTAATGGTGTTTTGAGTTTATAAATATCTCTACTTAATATCTATGCATTTCTTGATTCAATAAGTTTCTTTTTGTTTGCTTTTTCTGCTGCAGCTTGGAGTTGATACAGTTCCTTGTCCTGGTAGGCCCTGTCTCATACTTGTGGCTGTCTAAACCGGCAAAGGTGTGGAGAAATCATTTTCTCTTCTTTCCCTTATTAGCAAGATTCTTCCTGTCTACAAGTAAGTCATGTGAGAAAAATGTTTATCAGTGTTTAGATATGCTTGATTTGAGTCAGCATGGCCATTTTGCCTAGTAGGCATTTCTTTCTTTGATTGATCCATATGAATTATTTACCTGGCAGGGAGTTGTGGCTGAGGTGAAGGCTGCTGGGGCTACCTGGATTCAGTTTGATGAGCCAACTCTTGTGATGGATTTCTTGATTCTCATCAATTAGAAGCATTTACTAATGCTTACTCTGAGCTGGAGTCATCTCTGTCTGGTTTGAATGTCTTAATTGAGACATACTTTGCTGATGTTACTCCTGAGGCATACAAAACTCTCAACTCGTTGAAGGGTGTCACTGGGTACGGGTTTGACCTGGTTCGTGGACAAAGACACTTGAATTAGTAAAGGTGGATTTCCTTTGGACAATATCTCTTTGCTGGATTGGTTATGGTAGGAACTTTGGGCTAATGATCTTGCTTCTTCCCTCACTACCCTGCAGACTCTTGAGGGCATTGTCGGAAAGGGTATTTTCTCTTGCACTCATTTACTATTGCAATTATGATTTATTTTTCCTTAATGGTTTTAATATTCTAGCTATTTGGTTCTGCAGATAAGCTTGTAGTCTCAACATCCTGCTCACTCTCCACACAGCATTTGATCTAGTGATGAAACTAAGTTGATGATGGAATCAAGTCCGGCTGGCATTTGCAGCGCAGAAAAGTTGAAGTAAATGCTCTGGCCAAGGCATTGTCTGGGCACAAGGAGGAGTACTGCATTCTGCCACAAGGATTTTTCTCTCTCTTTTTTTTTTTTTTTTTTTTTTTTTTTTTTTTTTAAATATGTGCTTTTATTATTTAAATGGTTGAAATAGTCTATAACATATACAGAATGTTGTTCGTAAGTTTACTGCTATACATTTTGCCCATCAAAGGCTTGAGAGATAATTTTGTAGCAATCAAACTCTTTGAATGAGTCAAAAGTATGATTTTGGGTCAATGTTTTATATATGTTGAGATATACGAAGTAGAAGTTTTGAGGGTTTCAAGAAAATGAAGCTGATTCTTTGTTGTCTTATCTTCTCTTAACAAAAGAAACCAAGCCATTATACATTTTTCTATTCATTGCCTGATATGTTTTTCATTGTGCATGTTTTACATACTTTGAGAGGTAGAGTTTGATGTCATTCTCTCATGTGAATATGATATTCCCCCAACACTAAAACATAATTTTCATCTCTAGGTTACTTTTTATAAATTCTTTTTAAATATTTTCTTCGTGAATGCATGCACACAACATCAGCCATTTTTGTTAGCACTGTGAAAGCCTAATTAGTTATGGATGGTGGAATTCTTGACTCTGTAACTGAATGACTCATTCCTCTTCAGGTGTGTCCAAGAAGTTAACTTTTGCTATCTGTTGGCTTGAGTTCTCTGTATCCCTAGAATTTATTGTTAATTCCTTTAGATTCAGAGAGTGGAGGGGTAGCATACTGTTGCTGTGAAGTTTTAGTTTTATTCTTATTTTTATATTTTTGTTGTATGAATCCTTCTAAGTGCTTCATTGCATCTTTTTCTTTCTCCAGGCCTACTTCTCTTCTAACGCTGCAGCTCAAGCTTCTAGAAAATCGTCCCCAAGGGTGACAAATGAGACTGTCCAAAAGGCTGTAAGTGATTACGAAACTATTTTTTCTTTCACATTTCTAAATTTTCTTGGACTTGTGCTTACTTGTTCTTTCTTGTTTAGGCTGATGGTTTGAAGGGTTCTGACCACCGCCGAGCCACTAATGTAATTGCCAGGCTGGGTGCTCAGCAGAAGAAGTTTGGCCTTCCGATGCTTCCTACCACCACTATTGGTTCTTTCCCACAGACTATGGATCTTAGAAGAGTGCGTCGCGAGTACAAGGCTAAGAAGTGAGATTTATTGCTCTTCATGTTGTGTTTTGTCTAACTCTTTCACAATTCCTGTTTGTTTATTATGTAACTTGTTGTGGTTTATTTCCAGAATCTCTGAGGATGACTATATCAAGTCTATCAAGGAGGAAATTAACAAAGTTGTCAAGCTCCAGGAAGAGCTTGACATTGATGTTCTGGTTCATGGAGAACCAGAGGTGAGTTAAATTTTTAAGTAGAACAACTTAATATGTCCACTGGAGCTGTACTTGCTGCAGAAATAAGATATCAAATTCTTCTTCTCCGTCTGTCTGTCTGTCTGTCTCTTTTTTCACTTGTATATCTTGGCCATGCAGAGGAATGACATGGTTGAGTACTTTGGTGAGCAACTATCTGGCTTTGCCTTTACTTTGAATGGCTGGGTTCAATCTTATGGCTCGCGTTGTGTTAAACCTCCTATTATCTATGGTGACGTAAGCCGCCCAAAGGCCATGACTGTACCCTGGTCTTCAATGGCCCAGAGTATGACCAAGCGGCCAATGAAGGGAATGCTTACTGGCCCGGTCACCATTTTGAACTGGTCCTTTGTCAGAAATGACCAGCCCAGGTGAGAAAAGTAACCCAACTACTGTTACAACACTCAGTTTCTAGTATTTTTCAAATGGCTCATTAACTTTGTTATGTGTTTCCTCTTTCTAGATTTGAGACCTGCTATCAAATTGCTTTGGCAATCAAGGATGAGGTTGAGGATCTTGAGAAAGCTGGTATTACTGTCATCCAAATTGATGAGGCTGCTTTAAGAGAGGGTTTGCCTCTCAGGAAGTCTGAGCAAGAATTTTATCTAAAATGGGCTGTGCACTCCTTCAGGATTACTAACTGTGGTGTACAAGACACTACCCAGGTTCATCTTTAATTCTTTAGCTGCTTAATGTTACTTGTCTTATGTCTGTGCTTGATTACCCGAATGGTTTTTTCTATATTGCTTGTATACTCATGGAATATTCAGGTCATGTTGACAAAGGTGATAACAGACATTTTCCATCTTGAAAATTACAGAATTTATTAGTGAAAATTTATGTGCAACATTCTGCTTGAGCACAGGATAAACGTGTTATTTATTTTTTTAGTTTTTCAAAACACAGCATGCTGTTTTGGAGCTGTATTTGTGGAGGTGCACATTTGTTTATGTATTCATCATGAGTGAGTAAATAAGTATCATCTTAACCATATTATTGTTAATTTTGACAGATCCACACCCACATGTGCTATTCACACTTCAATGATATCATCCACTCAATTATAGACATGGATGCTGATGTAATAACTATTGAGAACTCCAGATCAGATGAAAAGCTTCTCTCTGTCTTCCGTGAGGGAGTGAAGTATGGTGCTGGAATTGGTCCTGGTGTGTATGATATTCACTCGCCGAGGATCCCTTCCTCAGAAGAAATTGCTGAACGCATAAACAAAATGCTTGCAGTCCTTGAGAGTAACATCCTCTGGGTAAACCCCGACTGTGGTCTTAAGACTCGCAAGTATTCTGAAGTCAAGCCTGCGCTTAGCAACATGGTTGCTGCTGCCAAGCTTCTTCGTACCCAGCTGGCAAGTGCCAAGTGAGTTGAAAAGGTGGCATAAAAGTATATCTTTATATATAGAGACGGGAGTTCATCTGCGAGAAAGACTGAATAATGTGCCGGCTTCTTTTTGAGTTAATTTTTCTATTTTTAGTAGATGATGTTTATGTTTATCTACTTGTATCTGGACCATTATTACCTCGATTTTCTTGTTTATGAAGCTATTTTGTCTTTACCATATTTGCATGGTTATACTGTGTTGAATGAATACCTGGAAATTCAGGAATGGAAATAACATATTGAGGCTGGACTGTGCAGTTCGTGTTGGTACCACTTTACTTTTCTGATCTGGGGCAGAGGCTTAAAAGACTACCTAGGGATGTAAAATCCCCGGCCCAGGGCAGGGCTTGCCAAGGCTAGGCCCAGGATATTATAAAGCCCAGGTCCGGACTGGGTGCCGTCAATGATTTTTGTGTTAAATCATTAGACTTTTGTCATAGTATAGGCATTTAACAGGGAAGGTTTTTGATGAAATTATTATAGATGACAAAATGGTCCTCTCACTAGTTATTATGGAGTTTCTTCGTGAGCATCCTTCAAACATCTTGCGTGTCACGAACTGATTTGTGTCAAATCACTTACCATTGGAAGACTGAAATGGTCGTTGCATTGCATGTTTCCTTTATTGAACACAAAATTTCGCCCTCAATCACCAATTGTGATGGGAGTACAGCACCCGGCATGCATGAATTTGAAGTTATTCACAAAATCAAAATGCTTCAAGAACTCTCATAATTAATATCAAAAAAGAAGAAGAAAATGTACAAGACGAAGCTGCAAGAGCTGTGCCATGAGAAGCGTTGGCGCTTGCCGAGCTACTCCTCCATGAAAGACGGACCTGACCACAATCCTCGCTTCAAGTCCTCTGTTTCCGTTAATGGCCTCTCCTTTCACTCTTCTGTTTCTTCCAAATCCTATAAACACTCACAAAACGATGCCGCCATGCTCGCTTATCTCCACTTCACTACTTCTCCAGGTAAGACTAATAATGCACTTCAATGAACGACGTCGTGAATTTTTTTTATTTATATTTAGTTCACGTTACAAATTATGATGTAGAATTGTACTCTCCATATTTCTCTAATTACACTGATTAACAGTATTTTAAATATCAAAATTTCTCTGGTTTTGTATTTTTTCTTCCATTCAATTAAGTACATACACTATAAATTACAATTTTTCTCAATATCAGGTGTTCAACCCAGTGTTGGAGAACCAGAAATCGGAGAGACATTTAAGGGTCCTGAGATCTATTTGCAAGTTTCACCCGACAAAAACGGTGTGGAATTTTATGATCATGTATTTCTTTTACAAAATTTTATTTTGTAAAATGCTAGTACTGTAAAAGAAATATTTTTAATCTTCCTCATGACTTGTCATGGCTCATTTAGTTCTTGGATTTGTTTTTCATTTGGAAAACTGATAAGAACCAAATTTTAGAGGTATCTTTAATTTATGATGGACTAGCATATTGCAGAAGTTTATTTGCACAGAAGATTGGATGGTAGTAGCACTATCTATCATTAATTGTTATCAGAAAGAGATAGGGCAGCTCAGCTATACGACACTTTTTAAGCGTAAGCTATTGTTTCTATCGTATATTTATCAAAATCATAGGAAAAAAACTTTTCTATGTCCAAGTCCAATAACATACTGTTTCTTGTTTTTGACATCCATCTTAGAGCAGAATAGATTAGACAATATAACTTTCTAAATACTTCAAGTGGTGGAGTCAGCTTACACCATGCTTCTTGCTTCCATGTGAAGGACACATTTTTTTTTTTAATTTTTTGTTGCACCATGTTTGATTTCCTGTAATTTGCCCATCTCTTTCTGCATTTTCTCAGATATCTCACCTCTGTAAGATATCTTACAAGTTGATTTGTCGTTATAGATGTGCAATGCCAATACAAATCTCGGCTGCAAAATTATGCTCGATGCAAAATTCTTGAGTCACCAGTGTATTATAATATAACGGAGGGCCCTGCCCATGCCCCTCGCTTTAAGGCTACAGTTACAGTTGATGGACACACTTTTGAGAGCCTTGAGTTCTTCACAAATCTAAAGCAAGCAGAACATGCAGCTGCAAAAGTAGCTTTAACGTCATTGTCATTTGATGGATTTCAAGAGGTGAGTGCCAAAACTGAATCCNAGACTGTTTCTTGTTTTTGACATCCATCTTAGAGCAGAATAGATTAGACAATATAACTTTCTAAATACTTCAAGTGGTGGAGTCAGCTTACACCATGCTTCTTGCTTCCATGTGAAGGACACATTTTTTTTTTTAATTTTTTGTTGCACCATGTTTGATTTCCTGTAATTTGCCCATCTCTTTCTGCATTTTCTCAGATATCTCACCTCTGTAAGATATCTTACAAGTTGATTTGTCGTTATAGATGTGCAATGCCAATACAAATATCGGCTGCAAAATTATGCTCGATGCAAAATTCTTGAGTCACCAGTGTATTATAGTATAACAGAGGGCCCTGCCCATGCCCCTCGCTTTAAGGCTACAGTTACAGTTGACGGACACACTTTTGAGAGTCTTGAGTTCTTCACAAATCTAAAGCAAGCAGAACATGCAGCTGCAAAAGTAGCTTTAACGTCATTGTCATTTGATGGATTTCAAGAGGTGAGTGCCAAAACTGAATCCTCCATTTTAGTATTAACAATATGATGGGCACAAAGATGATCAGTACTTAATATAAGTTTTGTGTAATTGTGTGAGGTGTTAGGTGCTGATGACTTATAATATAGATTGTATTCTAATTTCCAGGAAGACTATGGCTTTTACAAGAATCTCTTACAGGAGTTTTGCCAGAGAGAAGATCTTTCCATGCCAGAGTATAAGACAAAAAAATCTGGCGCACCTCACATGCCTACATTTTTTTGCACCGTGGAAGTAGAAGGTGAGGTTTTTTATGGGAAGGCAGGGAAATCCAAGAAAGTGGCAGAGATCAAAGCAGCAAAAGTTGCTTATACGGCTTTAATAGAGAGTATGTTACTCTTTTTCTACTGTACATCTTGCCAATGGTGTTTTCGAACTTACAACTTCAATCCTTTCATATCTCTCTGTGGTTCTCTTTTTTGTTCTTTTTATTATTATTTGGTGCTTATCTTGTTCAATTATCTAATTGCCTGCTTGGAATTTTCTTTTTATCTTCCTCTGGATGCAATTTCTGAGCTACAATACTCCTGAGCTTTACCAGATTTTACCGTCAAGCCTTCATTAGTCTCTCAGTTCATTTAGTTGAATCTTTCATCTGCGGATCTGCCCATTAGCATCAGTTTCATTGATCTATTTTCTGTTTCCTGATTAGTTCCAAGTTTTCAATCATCATTAATTTCCGAAATTCATTTGTGCTATTTATCCATCATTAATTTCCAAATTTTTCATCTTATCAGTGTGAGTAAACCAAAACCCTTTGTAATTGACAATTTCACTTTTCAAATGATCAATTCTTTTTGTTATTTGACAATTTGCTTTTCTGTTTTATTTTATATATGCTGCCAAAAATGTGTTTCCACTTAGCTGCAACATATAAATGCATCTCTTTGTTGCTCTCTCAATTGTTTCTGCTTCATTGGATAAATAAACAACAGAATAGCAGAATGTTCAAGTTGGTTCTTAAATTTTAGTTTTAGTTCAGGTGGACAGAGTCAGAGAAATGGGTTATCTTCTCCTACCATTGAGGTGGATAGAGCTTCGAAATCTACTTGTATCTCAGACTTGGCAGTCACTGTTGACTCTGAAAACCTCCAAGAAAAAAGCAGTGTCTCATCATCTTTGGTCGCTAAATATGCTTATAATAGTGAAGGTAACCTGTACTTCCAATTCCTATTTCTTTAGATTAACCATATGTTAAAAACATGAAACATTTTCAGGTTGCATAAGCCACAATTATACTGATTGTTTCTTCAACTGTAGATGACAAAATGGCTATCACACAATTAGTCGAAGAAGTACATTCAACTGAAAGGAAAAGCAGCTCTGATGAATCTATTCCCTGTATGGATGACACGCTGTCTAGCTTTCATATGCCCACCTCACCCGAAGGATGCTCATTTCCTTCTCCTCCGATGACGATGACACAATTACCTGATGTGTCTTCTCTCTCAATTTCAAACTCTAGCGTCGGAACACCTGCAGAAACCAGAAGCTACTTGCTTTGCAACAGGGTGAGGGTTTATACATGCATCCCTGAGATTATATTCCCCAGTGGCATCACACTGCTGCCAATTAGTAACAATCAGTGGGTGGCTGTGAGTTTGGAGTTCCCAAATGAAACCAATTAGAAAATGCATCTTTCTGGTAACTACGTTTATCGCCTATCGATATCTTAATACTACTAATAAATGTTCTTCTACATTGAAATTAACTTAAAGACTTGTTATAGGTTTTATAAGCTGAGACTAGAAGACTTATTAAATAATTGTTGTTATTGCCATACTTTTAAATTGTCTCCGTTGTATGACATTTCATGTAGTTTATATGATGCTTTTTCTTTTAGCTTGGAAATTTTCCTTCATCCCAGTAGAGCTTAATTATTTTTTTTATTTTTTTTTTGACATTTTGTAACATATCTTAAACACATAATTTTAAATTTAATCTTAATCTGTTAAGATTAAACCCCCATTAGGATGTTTCAAAGTTAATAATGAGAAATTATGTTAATTTGGAATAATATAACATGGATCCACTTAGGTTTTTTATAATTTTCCTTTTTACTCATAAAAATACACATAAAACATATCCTTATTTTATTGGACATTAAAAAAAATGAGATGATAAGACTATCTCATATAAGTATTTTAATCCATTTGTATTGAACAATGAATGCAATTTCAAATACTCATACCTTTACAAAGTTTATTAGTTTGATCAAAGTAGACACATTAATAGAGTTTAGTCCTGGGATTTACCAATGGACCTCACTACATTTCTTGCATAAATCACAGCAACCAGAACAAATAAAGTTGCCACAATCAAGTTCATAATCTTTCTTGAATGCTTCATCTCCCTCACCAAAACACCAAAAGCCTTCTTGAAATCCTCCACAACTCTAGATTTATCTCTCACATTCGGAGTTTCAGCAGCCGCTTCATTCTCCATCTTTTCACCACTACCTTGCTTCTCTTCCATTGTTGCACCTCCCAACTCTTCATTCTTCCCCTCTAAACTCTTCTCCGGAACAACTCCAGATTTATCTCTGACATTCGAAGTTTCAGCAGCTGCTTCATTCTCCATCTTTTCACCACCACCTTTCTTCTCTGCATCTCCCAACTCTTCATTCTTCCTCTCTAAACTCTTCTCCGGAACAGTTTCAGCATAATTTTTGGCCTCTTCTTGCCCATTTTTCATTAGAGCTTGCAGCTCTTGTTTCGGCTTTCGGCTTTGCTGTTTCTCCATGGATGGAGCTGTTTCAGTAGGTGGTTCTTGTCCTTTATTCTGAGGCTTTGGAATTTCTGTTGCAGTAGGTGGTTCAGGAGCTGGTGTAATAACTTTAGGGTGTTTGATGTAAAGTGCGGCATTTTCAAACTTTGCACTAATGTCATTGATCTCATAGTTGGAAGGAATTGGTATTTCCAAGTAAAATCGGGTCCATTTGTCCTTTCCTTTTGGCCGTTCTCCGCTCACCTTCAGTTTACGTGATGTTGTTATTTGAACCTTGAGTTGCTCCTTTTTGAAACCTGCAATTAAAATATATGATACTAATTAATAGAAAGAAGTTGATTAAATAAAAGAAGGCAATTTCAGAAAGAGAAAGAACCTGGTAGTTGAAGAATAAGAGTGTCGTATGTAGGTTCCCGTTGCCAAGCTGTGGATGGCTCAAATTCCTCATACACGCGATTGTGTTCCATTTCTGTGGGTGAAAATGAAATGTTTAGGTTGTTGCTTTTATAGCACATAAGAGCCTTCTGGTTTTTGTTCATCTTTTCTTTCACCATAATTATTCTTATTCCTTGATTTTGCTTCAAAATTTCTTTCGGTTGTTCAATGCCTGCAAGTATGCTATGCTTTAATCACGTCGAGTTGGTCACTTCAACTTCACGCATGGGAAAACCCAAGCTTCCTGCTTATTCTCAAATTATAAATTTATTTATGCCTCTTTAAAGTTTAAATCCAACAAACATGCCCTCAATTTTTCTACTTCTTTTAGTTGCTCCTTTAAATTTTTTACTAGTCAAGGTCTCGGTTCACAGTTTGACTGGTTAAATGGCCGGTTTTCGATGGTCCAAAAAGTTTAAATTCTTCGAACACACCCCTGAAAACTACAATTAGTCCCCACAGGTTTAAAATATAGAAAATACACTCCTATGATCTGTTTTTATTTTGACATTTCCAGCCAAATTCCAGTGGCTAAAATTCAATCCGACACTACCATCTGAACCATTGTCCTCCACTTTACAAAACCCCTCTAACCCCGAAACTTGGTAGCCCTCAGTTCGCCGGCCGTGAGTCACAAACACAGTCGCGATTAGGTTGATTTTTGTAGCCAAATTCCAGCTTATTCCAACCTCCAAAATTCAATCAAACACCACCACCTAAACCATCAACCTCCACTCTACAAAACCCTTCTAGCCTTGGCACTTAGTAGCCCTCTATTTGCTAGTCGTGATTCCCATATTGGGTTGAACTTTACTGTCAAATTCAGGCTTATTCTGACGTCGAAAATTCAATCCAACACTACCACTTAAACCACTGGCCTCCACTCTACAAAAGCCCTCTAACTCCAACACTTGGTAGCCCCTCGTTCACCAGCAATCAAATTAGGGATTTGTATGAACACTGAAACTGAAATCTTGGATCGAAAAAAAAGGCCAATCGACGATTAGACCGATCTAACCGGCCGATCTGGTTCGGTCCAGTTTTTAGAACATTGATGATCGCCATAATTAGAAAGCAACAATTCATCGCCATAACAGTAAACACCATAACTAAAAGATCGAAGAATTTATCAACATAACCAAAAACCTATAATTCATCGCCTAGATAACAATAAAATCATCTTTAACCAAAGACACCAAACCTGAATCTTAAACCATCACCATCGTACGCCAAAAACCAAAAACCATAAATCAACCTCAAACACTAAAACTAGCTTCATAACTGAGAAAACTCATAAACCTATAAATCAAAATATGTCAAAATCCATAAATCAAGCATGCTTTATAACCCAGGAAACCATAAAAACTCATAAATCAAAACATGCTTCATAAACCAAAAACCCATAAATCAAAACATGCTTCATAAACCAAAAACCCATAAATCAAATTGAACCACCAAAACATGCTCCATAACCCAAAAAGTCTCATCAACGATTTTCAAAAACATGTAAGCAATATGTCATCAATTTTAATAAACTAACGCAGGACCAAAAGCACATGCCTCTTGCCATAGCAATCACCAAATATTGTGAAAAAGATTGAGAATTCTTAGTCTAGTCTATCCAATACCTTAATAAATGCAATTGATGGAGATATCACAAACTTTTCTTTGTTAGACTAGAGGCCCTTTTCTTTGTAGAAATATAACGTATGTTGTTCTAAAGACTTCTTTCCCATCAAAAGAAGAGAGATTATATGGATAGGCAGTTATCTCTTCCCACATGTCCCACTATCCACTATCTAAGGGAAAATTAATTGATATGAGGAGTAATTTATTTAAATATTAATAATGAATAATGGGCCACAAAAATTAATATTTTTATTTAAAAAATAAAAAATCGTAACATTCTCCCACTTGGCCCATTCAACACTTAATATGTAGCAGTTTTTTTCCCATAGATATAATATCATCATACCCAAACAAAAGAGTTTAAATTGCATGAATCGTGGCAGTAAGTCCTTTAGAGCAAGTATTACTTTCCACATATTACAATGCAACTTTTTCTTTTGAATGAGAACCATATGTGGTACATGTCTTTATGAATGAACTTCCAAATGGTCATTCAGGGTCCACAAACGAAATTCAAAGATGTATTGTTATTCTCCAAACTTCATGTACACTACTAAATAAGAGAAGACAAATATGAAATTAATGGAGTTTTCCAAATCAACAAAATGTGATACAAACATAAAAGGTCTCTCAATCACACAAAAACTACATAATAGAACTAAGTCCCATATGTTCAACATGTCCCTTATAAGCAATAGGTGGTAAACCTTTTGTCCATGGATCAACAATCCTCAATCTAGTATCGATGTGCTTAACAACCACTTTGTTGGCTCTGACATGTTCTCAAATAACTAGATACTTAATGTTGATGTGCTTACTGCGACTTCCGTTTTTATTGTTCTTGGCCAAAAACATTGCAACAAATTATTGTGGTAAATCCTCAATGGCTTGGAAATTGTGTCAACAACTTCAAGCCCTAAAATAAAACTCCTAACCATATAGCATGTGATGTCACTTCAAAGCATTATACAAACTCCGTTTCAGTGATAAAAGTAGCAACCAAATATTGTTTTGTACTTCTCCAAGAAATGGACCCTCTAGCTAATAAGAGGACATATCCTAATGTTGACTTTCTTGAGTCAAGGCAACAAGCAAAGTCAGAATCTGAATATCCAATCAATTCTAGATTATTAGATCGCCTATATGTAAGCTTGTACTTAGTCCCTTAAAGGTATTGCATGACTTTCTTTGCAGCTCTCTAATAGTCAAAACATGGATTACTTTGATATCTACCCAACATTCCAATTGCATATGCAATGTCAGACTTGTGCAAACCTGAGCATACATTAAACTTCCAACGACAGAAGCATAAGAAATGTCCTTCATTTGTTCTCTCTCTAAATCATTTCTTGGGCTTTATTCCAATTTGAATTTGTCACCTTTGACAATAGTTGCAACACTAGATGTACAACACTTCATATGAAATCTCTCAAAAACTTTATTAATATAGGCTTCTTGAGACAATCCTAATATCCCTTGGGATTTGTCTCTCTCAATCTATATGCCTATGACATATGAAATTTCACCTATATCTTTCATATCAAATTGTTTCGAGAGAAATCGCTTAATCTCATGAAGTAAGCCCAAATCACTTGAAGCACATAGAATATCATCTACATATAGGACTAATGAAACTATTTTGCTCCCGCTGACCTTATGGTATATACATTGATCCATGATATTCTTCGTAAAACTAGATGAAGAAATGACATTATGGAATTTTAAATACCATTGATATGAGGCTTGTTTTAGCCCATATATAGATTTCTTAATCCTACAAACCAATTGATCATTCCCCTTTGAAATGAAACCTTCTGGTTATTTCATATAAACCTCTTCCTCTAGTTCTCCATTAAGGAATGTTGTTTTCACATCCATTTGATGTAACTCCATATCAAAATAAGCCACCAATGCCATGATTGTCCAAAATGAATTCTTCTTTGGAATAGGAAATAAAGTATCGTGATAATCAATTCCTTCTTGTTGAGTGAATCATTTGACTACAAGTCTTGCCTTGTATCTTTCAATATTGCCTAAAGAGTCTCTTTTGGTCAACCAATGGTCTTTCCTTCCTTAGGCAACTCAACAAGATTTCAAACTTGGTTATTAGCCATTAAATCCAACTCATCCTTCATGGCATTATGCCATAATATGGATTTATTTCTACTCACAGTCTATCAAAATGTAATAAGGTCATCTTCAGCACTAATATCCATGTTAGATTCTTGCAAGTACACAACATACTCTGAAGAAATTGCAGATTTCATTACTCTTGAAGATCTTCTCAATGTTGCATCAACATTTTCAGCTTAACTGGATCTATAGGAATATCTTTATAATGATATGGTTCCTCAACAATTGGTTGTTCATGAGTTATTGATTCCTGATAATTATCATGAAACACAACCAATATATATGAAGATGTAGGAGCAGGTTCAAAACTATTATCCTCCTTAAAAACTAAGTTTCGAGGTTCGCTACTCCCACTAATCTCATCATTCTCAAGGAACGTTGCATTCTTAGATTCTGTAATTCTCGTCGCACGAGATGGATAATGAAATTTGTATCCGTTAGACTTTTCTATATAGCCAATGAAATATCCACTAACTATATTTTTCTAACTTTGTCTCATGTGGATTGTAGATCTTAACTTCAACTAGGCAACACCATACATGTGCATGCCTTAAACTAGGTTTCCAACCTTTCCATAATTCAAACAACATTTTATGAACCACCTTGGTTGGAACCCTATTTAGTACATATGCTACAAATTTTAGAGCTTCACTCCACAAAGGCAACGGGAGATCAGAGTTATTAATCATACTTCTCAGCATGTCCGTCAATGTTCAATTTCTCCTTTCAGCCACACCATTTTGAGATGTGAGCTTAACATTGTGTATTGTGCCACAATACCTAATTCTTTTAGATTCTTTGCAAATGCACAAGGTAATTGTCCCTTTTCATTGTACCTACCATAATATTCACCACCTCTATCTGACTTCACAATCTTAACTTGTTTACCCAATTGTTCTCTACACTCACTTTATAGACTTTAAAAACATCTAATGTTTCACCTTTATCATAAAGCAAGTAGAGATACATATGTATAATCATCAATAAAGGTAATGAAATATTTCTTACCATTAAAACACGTTTCATAAGGACCTGAAATATCAGTGTGTGTAATCTCTAAAACATTAGTCCTCATGGCACCTTTCTTGACCTTGTTAATTTGCTTTCCTTTAATGCAATCCACACAAGTACCAAAATCAGTAAAGTCAAAAGCCTAAAGGATTTCATCATTTACCAATCTCTTAATTCTATTTATGCCACAACATGGAGAATTTCTCATTTATAACACCACACTTAATGCCAACATTATTACCATGCATAGTCGTAAGGT